TTTCTTCTTTGAACATCATTCCTAGTAAATCTGTCGATTAATCTTCTTTTTAAATTCCTGTCCTCATTATGGTCACACCAATTCACTAAATTAGCTGCTACCCTTTCTTTTTCCTCATTATACCATTGTAATGCAATTCCTCTTAAACAAGTTATAGCTATGTTCGCCTTATTTTGTCTACATACACCTCCTCCAACATTTCCTTCTGGTCGTCCACTTACAGTAAATGCTATCTCAAATTGTCTAATCCAATCATTAATATCTTCATCCTCTTTTCCACTAAAAGTTGGCATACCTACTATTCCTCCCATTCCTGCAGTCTGAATCCTATCCGCCAAAGTCTGTCCTGCCCCTAACGCATTATCTAATGCATTTGGTGCCAATCCCATAGCATTCTCCATTATTCTTCTTATTTGTGCTTCATTTGCCATATTTACTATATTCTCTTGAAATAATCCTTGTAAATTGTAATCAGATAATTCACTTTCGTTGTCAGAATTTTTAATATTTAATGAACTATTTGTATCTGAGTTTTGACTTAAGTCGCTACCCCCTCTATTTATAACATTTTCAATTTCATCTTCAAACTCATCTTCATTAAAATTTTCAATATTTCCATCCCATATTTCATCTGGACTTAATATTTCTCCAGTCTTTTCTGAATCATCTGTATTATCTTCTTCTGATTCTTCATTATCACTCTTTTCACCACTTTCTTCACTATCTATTATTCCTGCTTGTTCTTTCAACAACTTATCTAACTTTTTCTTCAATTCTTTTTCCGACTCATTCTTATTTTCTTGAAAGATTTCAATAAATTCTTTATCTAAAATTTCTCCATCTGTATATCCCATACTAGTTAATCTTAACAATTCTTCTTCAGTTATCATTGTTCCAATATCTTCAAAAATCTTTTGTAATCTTTTTACCCGATCATCAATTTCATCAATATCTTCTTCCTCACAATCTTTGCATATAGTTCCTTCTAATCTAAACATATCATTCATCCATCTTATTTCGCATCTTTCGCACCAAGTTGTATTCTCATTTAACCACTTATGAATCTCTTTTCTTAACTCTCTATCTTCTAATTCTATTATTCCCATATACCTTTCTATGAATTCTTCTGTCACCATTATTCGATTATTAACTCCAAAATTCTTTATTCTTTGAATTTCCGATACATCCATTTCGTATCCTAATTTTTCTAAGTTGTTTTTTAGTTCTATTAATTCATCTTGTTCATCTTCCCGTATTTCCCGATTACATTCTTCACATCTGACATTTTCTTTTGATATTATATAATCTAATTTCTGCTTATTGCATCTATTACATATTATCGTACTCAAATCCATCCATTCCTTTATGTCTTCAGACTTATCAAATCTCCCTTCCTGAAAAATATAGTATCTTATAAAATTACTTGTTGACAGTATTCCCGTTTCTATCTTTTCTTTTATTCCAAATTTCATTATTTCTCTGACGAGCTTTTCCTTTGGGTTTACTATTAGTTGTATTAATCCTATTCTTATTTCACTTAACTTCCACGTTTTATCTTCTACTATTATTTCTATTTCTTCTTCAGAATCATGTATTTCATTATCATCTCCTTGCTCTATCTCTATAAGCTTGAATTTTTGTGTTCTTTCCATCGCTTCTTTTAAATCTGTTACAATCCATTCTATTACTCCATCATCTATTCTCAATATAATAGGATCTCTTGTGTCTATATCTTCACTATCTTTAAATGTCATGCTATCTGTCAGTTTTCTTACAGTATCTTCTTGCAAATTATCTCCCTCAGATAACATCTTCTCGAACCATTCTGGTGAATCATTTTCATGATATGTATGTATTTGTTTACCTTCATATTTGTCATTCCACCAGTACCTGAATCTTTCAAATCTAAGATATAAACTCA